AAGCTGCAAGGACTCATCCAAGCAGTCACTGCAGGGTCAGCAATGACTGAGCGCAGACAAAAAAAAAAATACTTTCAGAGGTCCATTAGTCAGGTAGAGAAGGTCTTCCCTTATGCCAGCTCCAAACTAGAGAACACACCCTCTTAGAAATTAAAGTTCTCCCACTCCCTCCTCCTTTAAAAAAGGTATTGCTATAGCTTTTCAACCAGGGCCTTTTGAACTATTGTAAGGATGGTTTTAATTTTTATGGCTGTACAGGTATTTCAATTGTACCACTTTTAATTTACTATTGTATTTTTATTGTATTATTTAACTACCTTGACAGACCTCCTTGTATGGAAACATAAATAAACTGTAAATACTATCTCATGCTGAGGAAGACTTTTCCTCTTCTTAAACCTGCAAAACCCAATTCTGGTATGGGAAGCTGAGATTTTCTTGACCGCTTGAAAGATTTTTCATTGTAGAATAAAGATTGCTTTCTCCAAGTCACATTAGCTTTCTCTTTGTTTAGTAAGAACTGTCTTCAGTGGTGGGACAGAGCATTAATTATTGAACAACCTATCAAGTCCCATGGTGAGAACATGAATCATATCTCTTCTTGTAAAAAATTCATAACACAACTTCTGCAAAGAAAAGCAACAAAGGCTCAGGAGAAAGCTGCTCATGACATTTGTTACAAGGTAAACTGATTAAACTCCTTTTAGAGCTCTCTAAGCAGATTAATCTAGCTCATTAAAAAGATGTCTGACTAATGACTCCTGATAATTAAGACCTCTGCATATGAAAGTTTCTAGTCTGGAACATTTGATGAGGAAATGCAGGTACAGAGCAAATATCCTGTATACAGAGTGAGATATAATTTATATGGAAATTATTTTTTTCAAAATAAAAAACATAAAAGCAGCTCTTCTGTTTCCACACAGGCACATTTTATAATTCACACTGTAAATAAATAAATATAAAATTACTTGTACAGTGACTTATGCCCATCCTTGTACTTTTTGACTGAGAGGGGTACCTTTTAGTCAGTCTTGACTCCTGGCAACAACGTGGACAAGTCTTCTACAAGATTTTTGGAACTGGTTTGCTATTACCTTTTTCCTAGGGCTGAGAGAGAGTGACTGGCCCAAAGTCACCTAACTGGCTTCAGGCCTAAGAACTCACTCTCTCTGTTTCTAGCTCTACAAAAATGTTCCCAGATTTATATCCACCTAATAGAACTATGGTTCATAAACCATGATTTCACACTGATTTAGTGTTAGGTCTGAACCTGTCCTACTCTTTTGTTGAAAATGGGTCATTCTGAATATAAAATAGGCTTGCTAGTGATGTGCAGCTGTACCATTTGTGAATTTCATTTTTTTTGTCTGTCCAAAATCTTGTCAAGAAAACTGTGGGGACTAGTCCGGGAGTTGCCAGGAGTCAACCCTGACTCAAAGGCACCCCCCCCCCAAAAAAAGCATGTAAGTGTTGCATTTAATCTGACACTTATTAACACTATTTAGTAAGTCACAGTGATCTTAGTTATAACTGGAAATTTATCAGCTGTGGTAAACAATTCCACTTTGTTTTAGAAGAAAAGCATAATTCTTAGGCTGTGTAATATTTCACATGAGTTCTTAAAATATATATGGGTTTACTGCTGTTCCTCAATAAAAGCATTTTAAATTATATCATAAATATACATTTTATTTTACTTGTTTTAAGAGAAATGTTAGCTGCCTTGATACCTTATAAAATATACAATGCAGCAAGCAAACTTCTCTCTGGAGAATCATGGAAAACAAATGTGAACTGGAAGAGAGATTATTCAGTTCCCTGAAGTTCATTTTTAATATTTCCTCTGACACACATGGAGGAGGAGAATTACTATTCTTTACCTTCAACTTCTCATCTTTAAAATGGGAGAGTGGATTATTTGTAGCTGTACACAACAACCCGCTTCACATATGAAACTTGCTTTATAGTTAATAATGAGAACTAAAATATCTAAGTACTGCACACACACACACACCCATGTCACTACAGTATTAAAAAGTAGCTAATTCTACCCAAAATTCGCCTGGGAGTTTGCCAGGTTCTCCTGTCCATGTTAGTAGAATCCTTGTTCTTTAGATCCACTAACAGAGTGAGAAACCTCGAGGCTTCCTAGAACAAGTCTACAGGATAGGAATTAAAGCACAGAATTATTGGGGGGGGGGCTGTTTCTTGCATGTGAAAGGAAAACCACATTCAGAAAACATGCGGAACAAACTCCGTACAGCTGCTATTAACAACACTCCATGTACTCCTAGCACAATTTGGAGAGATTTTATCTTTAGAAAGAGAAACAGACAGCTATAAAAAGGAACAAGAGCTGCATGGAACAGTTGACACAGGAATGGGATTAGAAACCCCCTTGCTCTCTCATCTAGGAAATTTCCACCACAGTCAAGAGCTTAGTTCCCAAGGCTCCTCGCTGTGATACTCCACCTTCCCACTGAGCTAGCTAAGGCTTATGGAAGGGCGTGAAAAGGAGCCAACCTCCTGCTCCATCCTTCCCTCATCGCATTTGCTTTTTAGTGGAAGGAAAAACAAATGGGAAAAAAAGCCAGCTATTAAGTAGGAGAGCTGAAAATCTGCCCCTCCGAGCAACTGCATGGGGCAGGGGGAATGTGGCAAAGAGCCCCAGTGCTTTGGCTGCAGGAGGGGGAGAGAGAGGAAATTGCAGGAATCAGCTTAGGCATGGCAGGAATTCCTGCCAATGGACAAGTATGCCCAGCCACAACTCCAGAGGAAGGGCATTTCCTCTGGAGAAGGTCACCCAACAGTCAGTTGGCTCAGCTTCCCAGACCTGTGGCATAGATGTTGCACCAGCATCTATGTTGGACTGGTGCAACATAGACAGGCCAACTATTTCTTTAAGTGTAAATTCTCAACCGCCAGCGAGTGTATGGTTGTGCACTGTCCTCCTCTCCCTCCTGATCATTTAGTTACAGCAGCGTTTCTCAACCTTGGCAACTTTAAGATGTGTGGACTTCAACTCCCAGAATTCCCCAGCCAGCATGTTTGAAGTCCAAACATCTTAAAGTTGCCAAGGTTGAGAAACGCTGCTGTAACTAAATGATCAGCTTAGGCATGGCAGGAATTCCTGCCATGCCTAAGCTGATCATTTAGTTACAGCAGCGTTTCTCAACCTTGGCAACTTTAAGATGTGTGGACTTCAACTCCCAGAATTCCCCAGCCAGCATGTTTGAAGTCCAAACATCTTAAAGTTGCCAAGGTTGAGAAACACTGAGTTACAGGATCAATCTTAACCAAAGTTCCACTAATGGACAGGGCAAATATTGTCTCCTCAGCTTTTTCGACATTCAGAAAACTTACACTAGCTGACTGGCTGTCTGCCTTTCTTTTCCAGCCTCCTGAAAAATTAACCTTTAGCTGTAGCACATATAAAAACAAGATGTCACCATCATCTGTACGCACCGTGCACTGGAATAGTAAGGGCTCCCTTCTTCATCAAACCTCTGAATTATTGGCGCCTTCAGAGCTTTTTCTTCCTCTTCAGAAAACTGCAAAAGATAATGAACTGGCATAGAAAATCTGGCAATTTCCATCTGCACGAGCATTGGACGTCCAGTTCTAAGAGATATTAAATGTCTAACCAGTAACCCTGGGTACATTTGGAATTCTGCTTAGTTCAATGGGATTTCCTATTAAGTGTGCCCTGAACTGCACTAACGTTAGTGCCATTTCTCTTACAGAAATTGGTATCGTTTAAAAAAAAATAGTTAACAGTTTGAGAAAGATTTTTAAAATGCAATAGCCTGAAAAACTACTTTCCTTGCTCCTCTTGGATATAAAAATGCCAATGAGATGTCAAAATATCTCTTTGGTTAGGTTCCCCGTAACACTAACATTAATTCTAACAAGCCCAATTTGCTTATAGTGCTAAGCTTACAAAGCACTTACAGGTAGAACAATTTGACAGTAGGTCACTAACTAGTTTGAATAATTTGGGCTCCATCATATCCATGTATTAAGGTAACTGTAAATAGAAGCTGTAGTTTATAAGTACCCCATTTCAGTACAGCTTCAGCTGAGATCATTCGAAATGATCAATGAATCAGGTATGGAAGAGCAACTTTATTACAAGAAAATATAGGCAAGTGATGGTACCAAGTACAGCATTATGACCATTCTCTTCTAAAGTGTTTCTGAATATTAAAAGTAGTGGACATTACCTGCTTCCCTTCCCTTGCTTTTTGGTCCCTGGCCACTGTAGCTAAAACAGTGGCAGCTTGTTCTCCTCCCATCACAGAGATCCGAGCATTTGGCCATATAAAAAGAAATCTTGGACTGAAAAATACAAATGTTGATATAATGGGGAACAAAAATCTCTTCAGCTGTTTTCAAATTAATTGCTTCACTTTCTGTGACTGATGGGGCAGACGGGGAAGGAATGTAATTTGCATAATATGAAAGCTACTATATAGTAGACAAAACATATTTTAGCTTTTGTTCCATGATATGGAACACCCTATATGTATCTCACTAAACTGGAACCACTGAAGGATTTATTCAGTGAGATCTATAGCCTATGCAGCCAGTTGCACCGTCCTGTGGCCTCCTTGAATTAAATCATTCATCCACATACGTACTTTAAATCATACAATAAAGCAATAGTCTCTTCTAGATTCGTAACAATATTTTCAAATATTAAAATTTAATATTAAATATTAATTAATAATTTAAAATATTAAATTACATATTTAAAAAATAGACTCATGCCCAATATCCATACTACTACGTCTGAAGTGCATGCTTACCTATATGCTCTTCCACACATCCCATAATTTCCAGCACCATAAGAGCCTCCAATAATAACTGTTATTTTAGGCACACTGGCACATGCTACAGCAGTAACCATTTTGGCTCCATCTTTTGCTATGCCGCCAGCTTCATAATCCTTACCAACCATGAAGCCTAATTGGAGGAATAAGACCATTATCAAGTAAAGTTGCAAATAGCTTGTTTCATCATTAGAAAAACAAAGCAAAAGAGACAATAAAACTTCATTTTATTTATTACTTTAATTGATTCAACTAACATGTTTGATGCTTTGTAGCCTTTTAGCTGATATTGTTAAGGGAATTACTCTACTATTGCTAAATGATAAGCGTCTAAGTAAATTGTAGGACGTTAGACAGAAATTCAATTAGAGTGTAAACCTAGTTGGCAAAACACTTTATAAATGAATAATAACTAAATACAGCAACAATAATCCAATTAGTATCCATTTGACAACATTCCCAAAACTCAAATAAGGTTGTTAAAAATAATGAGCAGGAACTGATCTATTACTACTACACACTTATTTGCCAGTGGAGATTTAATTATTGGCTCAAATATTTATTGTCCCTGAAATTCAGCTTCACAGACCATCATAGTGATTTACTCACCTGTGATATTTTGCAAAAATATAATGGGGATATTTCTCTGACAACAAAGCTGAATAAAATGTGTGCCCTGTAAAGATAGGAAGAAATTGATAGTTGGCCTATTGAGAAATAATTGTTAAATAATACTATTCTATCTGCTGCTAAAGTAACTGGTATGCTCCTAAACCAGTGTTTCTAAAACCATAATGCTTATTTTTTAAAAAATGGGGACAAAGTATTGCATTTTTGAAATGTACTCTCTATACTTGCCAACAGATAAGTATATATGTATGTATGTATAAATAAACAAATAAATAAATAAAAGCCATGATCTTGAATCTGAATCTATGTTACTCATTTTTCCCAAGTGTAATAATTTCTCTAAATGGCTTTATCCCCCAAACTATGAAATCATATTTAAAACAAAACTTTTCCTATATAATGTTGACTTACTTTCTTATAAAGCTGACCTATGAAGCAATTACTCATTCCCTAATAACTGCTAAAATAGATTGTAGCAGGTTTTAACACACGATGATGTGATAAAATGGCAGGTGATAGTAACTGAGGTAACAGTTTGCTACTGTACTTAGCCCTAGAAATAGTAACAATGTTATAAGAAGTACCAAAAAAGATTACCGAATTATCGCAGCAAAGATCTTGAAAAAAGCTTAATAACAAACTACAACTGCTAAACATCTGTAGAAATTCAAAGCACACAATTTACATTATCTAGTTGCAACTTTCAAAATTAAGCCCCATATTAGAATCCCACATATTGCAACTTAGATTGGATGGGAAGAGAATATAACAAACAGAAAGAGCTTAATTGTTCAGCCTTTAGGCTACATCCTATCTCTAAAAAATGAAAACATTTTCAACTTCTTCAACTGTGCTGGTGTTATTTATTAACAGCAGAGACAAATCTGCTAAAAATACTTATCATCAGTCTTCCATGGGGAAGTGCAACCCTATCAAAGGCTAAAGATGGAATATCTTCCAAACCGGAAGGGCCAAACAAACAGAGCAACTTGATCTTGTCAAGATTGAGTCTGTTGTGTCCCATCCAGACTGGCACAGCCTCTAGACACTGGAGAGGACTTCAACAGCATCACTTGGTTGGTCCAGGGCCAAGATGTACATTTGGGCATCAATAACATATTGATAATACCCAATTCAAAACCAATGATGACCACCCAGCAATGTAATGTAGATGTTAAACAAGAAGGAAGAGAGAGTACCCTGTGGTACTCCACAAATGAGGGGCTGCAGGTGAGATCTCCATCTAGGCCATCAGATGCCCAGGGCTGGCCAATCTAACCAGCAAATCTAACATCCACTGCAAAGTGGGGTGACACCAGCAAGCCAAAGAGCAATCAGAGAGTGATCCAACCATGGCAATGGGCTGATGACAATGTCCTCCAAAGCCAGCTTGTGTTGCAACTGCCCTGAGACAAAAACCAGATCTCAAGAGGGAGTTTTAGTAAGCACCAGGCCCATGATGACTTGGGACAGATCTATGGTTGCCACAAGTTCCTGAGACACCCCAGACCTAATGTCACCAGGCAAAAAATTGAAATCCCTGAGAAACAAATAAATTCATGGTCACTATTGCAAGCAATAGAATCCAGCAGCTCACACAGGGAAGGTGCTGGGCAGGGAGGAGAGTACAGCAGCAGCAAATCCAACTTCAACTAGAGAGACTCATATGCATTTATCTTCAGAGCAAAGCCTATAAAGCCCTCAGTGACTTGTGGATGATAACTGCCACCCCACCTCTCCCCTCCAGTCTCAGCTGGTGCTAAGCATGAAACTCAGGTGGCCACATATGCAAGAGGGGAACTACCCCCTCTAGGCCAAACCAGATCTTGATAACACAAGTAGATTTAATGCAGAACAATCTGGCATTCAACACCAACACCTGGTAACCTGGCCTTGAGGGCAGATGCCATCCCCAAAATTGGTCTGCCCCCAGGATCCCCCCATATCTTCTCCTGTCCATCATGGTTCCAACATTCCTGCCAGCTCTCTCTCCTCCCCTCAGATCCTTCCCACCTCTTGCTCCTTTCTTTCAGGCCAAGGTATCTATTCACCAACTCACAAACTACACACCCAATCATCCACCTACCAGAATACCACAATCACTCCCCTAAATACCACACACCCAGCCCTCACAACAGTACCTCCCCGTTTCCTGCAGGCCACAGCTGCTCCTGGCACTCAGCAGCCATGGCTGTGTGTGTACATGTGTCAAAGTGCTGTGATAGCCACCTAGCAGCACTGTCAAACCTCAGCCCTTCTTCCACCTAATAGAGGAACAGAATGTAAATGGTTGGGTAATCAAGATGCCAGTCCCTGAGACTGAAAGAGGGGTCAATGTTCAGAGAAGAGCTCCACAGGGCTCCCAGTGGGCAACATAGATCAGGTCCAAAAGCACCTCCCAACTTTGCACCATCTGCCCTACTCCAAGTCCTCTTCATAGCACCGCCCCAAACCTCTCTGCTCTGGGCTAAAGCACTGCAGGAAACCAAGGCACCCGTAACAGAGTCAGGCAAAGGAGAGATTGTCTACCGAAATAGCTTGCTTTTTTCTCCCACCCAGAGAGACCGGAAGAAAGAGATTTCAAGAGAGCAAGCCACTCTTCTACACACTGAAAGCAGTGTGATCGTGCTGGCAGTGGGAAAGGGTTAGGCAAAGGACAGACTGCCTACAGAAATCGCTTGCTTCCCCCTCCCCCCAGAACAATTGGAGAGGAAGAGATTTCAAGAGAGTACTGTAAGCTGCATAGGGTGCCTGCAGCTCCCAGCCCCAGGCTGCCGTGCAATCGCATCGCTTTTGATGTGTAGAAGACCAAATTCTGCAAGGGGGGGCGGGGGGGAATGAAAAAAAAACACAGGTCAGGCACAGGACAACATATACTGACTGTAATGGCAATCACGTGACTGAGGGATGCTGCAAAGGTCGCAAATGGTTGTAATTTGGCCGTAAAGTTATTTTTTCAGCACCAGAACTTCAAACGGTCGCTGAACGAGTGGTCAGTAAGCAAGGGCTACCTGTAGTCCTTAGACTAATTAATCACGAGCTAAATCACAACAAAATAATAAATCGGCAGCAGCAAGAATCAGTAGACAAAATTGCAGCATTAACAACATTCACAACTTTTGAATCAATTAAGTGTAGAAAGTGTGAAAATATACTTTGCACATTTGTTAATGTTTTTACTACAATCCTCTTTAGAGAGAGATGTCCAGAAGCCAGCTGCCAGATCTCAGAAGCCCCCTCTCCCAGCTATGAACTCTCTCACACTGGAGATGGTGCAGATTCCTGGAGAAAAGCCTCCACAGATGTGCTTATCTAATATTAATTAACCACTATGGATTCTAGCCTATGGTGTGCATTTTGATTCTCAGCTATGAAACTGGGAAGAGCTTCAATAAGAGATGTTTACACTTGCCTTCTTTGCTGATTCTGAAAAAAGAACACCATTGTTTCCAATTATTCCAACTGGATAACCAAATATCCGAGCAAATCCTGAAAAAAAAGAGCAAAAAATCATAAGAACACTGTATACTTATCAACTGTTTACGAAAGGCTTTAAGCCTAAGAGTTCCCAGTCCTTAGTGAAAAAAAATGTAGCATAAAAGTAAACAGTTTTTGGATTGCAGCCATAATAGTATTTATCACAGCAATACCCACAGCAGTTGTTTTTGCTGTGACAAACTAAAACTATTGTGACAATTTAAAGACTAGCAAATTTACTATATGATGAAACTGACGTTAATTCAGAAGCCTACTGATTTTAGAATAATACCAACTTTGACTCTCAGTTGAGTTGTGCTCCCTCCAGAGAGAGCAGACCTGGAGCCTCAGGGTATTCCTGAAATCACAGCTCTTCCTAGAAGAGGTGAAAGCTGTGGCCAGAAAGGCCATTGCCCAGCTTCAATTGTGGCTTTACTTGGAACAGGATGCATAGGGTCAGTAACTCCTGCCCTTGTCATCTTGCATCTGGATTACTGGAGCTCTTTACAGCTGACCTTGAGGATAACCCAGAAACTGCAGTTGGTCGAAAATGCAGTGCCAGTCAATATCAGTGCTATCACATTATACAGTACCTCTTTGAGAGTTGCACTGGTTACCAGTATGTTTCCAAGGGCAATTCAAGACTTTGTTTGCTACTTATGTGGCTTGGGGCCTCAATCTCTGAGAGACTACCTTTCCTAAGTAGATTCTATCCACCCAATTGGATAATACAGGAGTACCGGCTGAAGGTCTTTTCCCAAGGTGCAGTTATGATGGGGGCTCCTCTCCTTTGGAAGAGATGGCTCTCAGAAAACTTTTAAAACCTTATTCCAGAAAACCTTTGAGGAGTGATCAGTGTGAAATCACTGGCACCAAACCATTTATTGTTAATATGTACTATGGTAAATTACATATTTAACTGTAATGTTTTTATTACCTAGAGGTCATTGCCTAGAGTTCTTGTATTGAAGTGATAAATCCATTACTGTATTAATTAATAAATTTTTCACAGAATCACATACTACAAAATTTGTTTTAAAAATTGAAACAATCATGTTCAATCAAAGCATGAAGCTGTAGCATAATTTTAATCATTTAAAAATAATACCTGTAACTAATGTATCCCCGTATAAGGCCTTAAATTCATCAAATTTGCTTCCGTCAACAATTCTAGCAATGACCTTAAGTAGAAAGACAAAGGAGATATATTTATTATTAGCAATTCACTTTTGCTGTATTAAATATCAACCTAATATGTAAAATACGATGTTTTTCATAGCATCTTAAATTGTACTCATGTTCCAAAAAGTACATATTTCAAGTCCAATCTACTGGCTCAAGTAACATGGTCTGGATAATGAGGTTCATACTGGAAACGAAACAAGCCACCTTCCCAAAGTACAAACTGGCCCATAATTACTCATGTCACCAACCTCTCATTTCTGTGTTATTATAAAATGAAGAAAAGAAAAATATATCTTACAACAATCTGTAGGGAATGTCAATTTTTATGTTCAGAGCTGCTCAACTAAGAAACAATTCAGCTTAGCAATAAGAGTACATGATTGCATATGGCCAGATCACACGGCCAGGTTTTCTCCCAAGTGTCTGCAGCTACAGAATTACAGAAGACTCCATTCATAGTTTGTTTAATGTACTGTGCAAATAAATGAGCCTGCTTTGAATCATGTGATTCACATGTCACACTAACAAATCAAAGTGGAGCCATTTGTAATTGCGCAGGTCAAGGACAGTAAGGAATTTGAATGCATATGGTGCTCATTTGCTACCAAGCCATATGTTGTCTTAATCTGTAGTCTGAAATGGCTCTTTCTGTGTGAACTTCTACTGATTGTGATTAAGAAATGAATGAGTTCAGTATGACTTATTACTGCTGACAAAATAGGTGAAATATAGCACCCAAGCATTATGTACAACATGTAAAGCCCAACATGAGATAACTGAGGACTCAATCTTGGGTTAGTGAATTAGTGAAACTGGCTGTATGATTTTGATTTATCTACTGTTATTGTACATGTACTGTCCTTGTTCTTTTGTCTGTCCTATGTTTAATACTGCTGGCTTAGAATGGTTTTCACATTTCAGCTGCAAAGATTTATTGATTTATTTATTGAAACTACATTGAAATGATATAGATTAAATTCATATGACTTATGTGTTTGTAATTAAACATGGATTTTTACAACCATGTTTAATTACAAACATATAAGTCATATGAATTGATGATTTGCATCTTGTACAAGAGGAAAATCTCTTGTACCCTCTTGAAGAAGTAGGACAATTAAAATATTATAGAAACAGTAATGGTAATTTAGTCCTGCTCTTCTTAATTATGTTTTTTAAAAAGAGACCAACATTTTATTTTTTATTACTTATCTAGTTGCTTTAAAGATAAGAACATTAGAATGCTGAAGTGACTGCTAAAGTATCTTCTAAAAATGGCCAATGTAAATATTTTTCAGGAAAATTATGACTGCAATAAAAAGCCAAATATTGGTGTTGATCTGCCAACTGATTTACTTCTCATCATTTTGAGCAAAGCATTCTTGATTGTTCTAATGGAGTATATCCCCCTTAAATTAGAGCCCAGTGTAACCCAAAAGCATTACTCAAAACATATGTCCTTGGAAGCAAAGACTACATTAATAATCTGGAGTTGCTTACTACCCCCAGATACAGCAATATTCCTAGCTCACATTTACAATCAATGAGTAAGTATTAAATCTGTGCACCTAAAGACCTTGGATCACTCTGTCAAGTTTGTTCTGTGACCATGAGCAGCAGCTTGTTTAATTTGGTCTTTGGGAGATTGAAGCTGAAATGTGTATCTAATCGCATTACCTGCCACTTCAAGACTTGATTAACTGTGTCAACAGATTTGACAAGAATTGGTAGTAAACAGTTGTGAACATAGCCTCTTGAAAAAGCCCATGAGCAGCAGAGGCCTGTTAAAGATAGATGGAACACATATGGCAGCACTTCTGTTCTCAATCCTACTCAGTTTTATTCCTAAATGCAAGGACTGAGCTAGAAATACAATAACAGGAAAAGTTAGATGCAGCATTTAGCTACTTACACAGACATAAGTAGAATTCCATTTTCCACTAATCCAAATTCCATAATTTTGTTGGATTGTTTTTGGTTCAGTAAATACAACAGGTTTGTTTTAAGCCAGTAAACCCAGTCTGAAAATGAGGTTTGTTGGCTTACTGATGGTGGTTTAGATTATACATAAACAAACCAATGTTTGTTTCCTGGCTAATCCCTGGTTTGATTTTCTGCCCTACCCAAGTCTTCTCAGACCAAGACATAAATGTTTAAGGCAAAAGAACCAATTAAAAGGAGAATTAAAAAATAGGAATTGCTAAAAGACCTGAATACTTTGCTCATCTGCAAGTGTGATTCTGGCTTTGTTTCATAAACCATACTTAAAACAAACAGTGTTATAACATGATGTGTGAACTCAGGCTGTAACATTCTCAAAGTAATCAAAATAAAGAATAAAGCAGATTTCCATAATTCACATGATTTTCTTGAGATTAGCCTCCTAGACCAAGAACATTAAGCTGTCCTACGTGTATCTTGTATGCAACCATATGTGCAAGCATCTGGGTAGACACAATTTTTTAAAATCATTCTTAGGGATGTTTACCTCTTTGACATCAAAATTTCTTTTAAGCTCCTCTCCAACTATACCATACAGTTCATCCTGAGGAAACAAAGGTTCTTCTGAGAGTTCTACTGTTACCTGAAAAGAAGAAGAAGAAGAAGAAGAAGAAGAAGGAAGGAAGAAGAAGGAAGAAGGAAGAAGAAAAAGGAAGGAAGGAAGGAAGGAAGGAAGGAAGGAGAAGAATTACAAGAGAATTAAAGCATTCATCTGTTTTTCACATTGACTACCAGTTCTCCTTTTCTGCAAACCCACCCTAAAAATGTTGGCAAGTGAACCACAACTTATTCAGTATGAAATTTAAATTCTCTCTAAATTTTCGATTATTGTTCTCCAGACACCTTCAATATTCATATACTTAAATCAACTCTATGATTCAATCAGACCTACAACTGAACCCAGATTAGAGAACTAAAAATGGGGTTCTTGATTATATGTGTATTCTCTCTATCCCACCAATTTCATCATTACCCACAACTCAGAATACATGAGTTCACAACAATCATACCTATCAGCAAACAAGAGTGGGAGGGGGGATAGTGTTTGAAACAAGAGGGACAAGGAAGTTAGTGGATATTGTAGGGGTTAGCAATCTTTTCAGGCACATATTTTCATCACACAAGTCACATAATAATTAGAAAAAATGAAAATAATTTTTTAAAAAACCTCACAATTAAATATTTTAAAAATGAGCCAAAATCTCACCAGGTCTTATGTACATATCTCAGGATCTCAAGACTGCATCTATGGTTAATTTTTTAAAAAAAATGTTATCTATTTATTAAAAAAAAAAAAAATCAGAGGCCAGAATCCAGTATCTACAGACACCAAGGCTCTAAGTTCCGGACTCGTGTTGGATACTACCTGGTTTATAAGCTAAGCTTGGTTACTGATTTGAATACGAAATCATCTAAAATCCAGTCAGAGCTACTTGGATGTAAACATTACACTAAGAGTAAAATAAGTGCAGTTTCTAGACTATATGCATCCTTCAGGAATATTGGGGTGGCCTACAATGCCTCTTCCCACACATCGCTTAAAGGTCTTCCCATTAAACCAATGTGCCATGTTGCCTCTACAGGTAGTCCTCACTTACTAATCGCAATTGAGACCAGCAACTCTGTTGCTAAGCGATGCAATCGTAAAGTGAAACATCACATAACTGCACCCGACTTAACAGTTCCAGCTGCAGTTGTTAAGCAAATCACCCATGGTCGTTAAGGGCAATGTCACGCGACCATAGCTTGTAACTTCCTGCCAGCTTCCCCGTTGACTTTGCTTGTCAGAAACCAGCTGTGAAGGTCACAAATAGCAATCATGTGACCATGGATGTTGTGACAGCCGTAAGTTCAAGGACCAGTCATAAATCTCCTTTTCCAGCGCTGTAGTAAATTCAAATAGTTGCTGAATGAACAATAAGTAAGCGAGGTCTATCTGTGCTGTACTTCCCTTCACTTTCCACATTTCCATTTGCTACTGCCACCTCTGCCTCCACATCCCTACTAACCTTTTCTACATGCTTCCTATCTGCCAGTGCAGTGTTTCTCTCTGACTCCCAGTCACCATGTGAATTCTATCAACACTAGCCTTGCATAATGTAAAGATATGTTACTCTTCAGATCCCAACTCAAAAAGATCCTTTGGTTTGGGTGCGCAACCAACTCCTGCACCTGACATCTTTTCCTGGCTTACACAGTAGCTGTAATGGTATGTGGGAATGGCCTTGGGAGACAGGGCAAAGAGATGCAGCCAAGGGAACTGTCAGATCAATTAATTAGCACATCTGGTCGTGTTTCCTGTCTGGTCTACCTCATAGGGATGACGGCAGCCCACAATTACACAATCCCCCAAAATATGCATCTGAGTTAAGAAGTCTCTGCCAGCATGTAATACGATTTTGGGTTTGGGTGAGGGCTCAGTGTCAGCGCCTCCTTAACTCAAACCCGTAATTTCTTGGGATCACAGGGGCATCATGCAAGCCCTGGAAAAGATAGAGCTTCTTTAAGGAGAAACTAATTAACATATCTCAAAGTGCAGCACATCCCTAATATAATGGCACTATATTATTGGCACACCTGGAAACAGAAGTGGATAATTCAAAGGCTAGAGGGGAAGAAGAGCAGAAGACAGTACATGGGGGTCTGCGATGCTCTTTTAACCACTCTTAAGAAATCAGCTGAATCAAGCTAGAAGCGAGACAACCTTAAATGCATACTTTTCCTCTGCGCTATCCCAGTAAACATATAATGTGGCATAGCATTTTTGTATATTACTTTATGTTCTGATACATTCTTATTAAAGAAAAATACACACTCACATCAATTTTCTTCTTGTAATTCAAACTTCTCACCACTTTTCTAGCCAAGTGGAGTGCATGATTATCATCCAAAGCATAGTGATCAGTTACACCAGATTTTCTGCAGATTTAAAATACAAAACTATAGTATGTGAACAAGAAAAACACGCTTTTCCTTATCCTGAGGGATTACCACCTTGACACAGCTCCAATAACCCTGAGAGTGATGCTGATGGGAGTGTAAATTCATGGAAGGGTTACTCTTGCTGGTAAAGTCAAACGAGGAGAGGTGAAGCTAAGGAAATCCACAAGGGTGAAAACAGGAAGTCAAACCCCTCAGGAGAAGGAACTCTAAAATCAAACCCATTACCAAGCAATGGCGAACAACTTCTGTACTGCTGCCAGTAAAAATGTATGGACGTGGCTCAAACATTGAGATAAGCTCGGAGACTAGATGGTGAGATCCCCAAATCCTCTAGCTATCAGGAAAAAATGCTAAACTTTCACAGGTGTGGAGTGTGGAGGCGATGACCAGTCTCTGCAGCCAGACCAAAACTGCAAGGAAGTCTGGATACTAACGGTGGAGTAATAAAGGCAAACTTCCTCGTTTTATAATGTCTCATAGAAGTGGAACATGTAAGCAGTGAGAAGCATGAACCAAGGAAAACCTGAAATCATCAAAGTGAAATTAAATGAGATGTTTTAGAAGTAAGTGAACTTAGATGGGTTCAAATGGGCCACTTTAAATCAGATGATTATTATCCAGTGTATGAGACTATTAGCAGAGAATGGCAATAATAGGTTTAAAAGGACACTGTTAAGTATTTGCTTGGTTATAGCCCCATAAATAACAATCTCCTTAGAATGAGTGAATATCCAATAAGATAAATATTATACTAGTGTACACCTCTGTTACTGACACAGTGGTAGAGAAATTCTATGGCAACCTACAAGAAATAATAAATGCAATTTCTAGAAAGAACAAATATTACTAATGAAAGATTGAATTAAATGTTTGGGGAAGCAGAGTAAACTGAAATTAGAAGATTTAGGTTGAGGAAATGCAATGATAAAGGTAATAGGTTAATCAATTTCATTGCAAACATCTGCTCCAAGCAACATAGATGCAGACTCTACACTTGAGCATCACTGAATAGACAGCATAGGAATAAAATCAACATTATAATAGGAAATAGAAAATGGTAAAGTATAATCCGTTTATACAGGATACTTCCAGTGCAGATATGGTGCTGAATTTATGGGTTTACTTGAATCAAATATACTTTAACGTAGAAAATTAAAGAGATAAGTGTGCCAGCAAGATTTGATTGAGGGAACATTGTGGTCACTTTAAGGCACGGTTCGTCAACCTTGGCGATTTGAAGATTTGTGGACTTCAACTCCCAGAATTCCCCAGCCAGCATTAAGGGTGGTGGGCATGCCAGAACACCTAATTATTCTTTTGAGAAACATTTACACTGAATAAGTTACTATAAGAATTAAATTTACAGAAACAGTGATACAAAATAGAGGAATGAGGGAAAGAAAATTGCATACTGTCACAATTTCTGTTTAATTTGTAGAGCAAATATACCATGAGAATGGCAGGATTAGAAGAGATACAAATAGAAGACAAAATCAGAGGCTGAAACACTAATAAATTTGAAATATGCAGACGATACCACTTTGTTAGCTGACAGTAAAGAAGATTTAGAATATTTCATTAGGAAATTAAAAAGAGAAAAATCCATATTAATTTCAAATATTAAGAAGACACAGATAATGTCAACCAGCATGCTTATAGAATTAACTGTGGATGCTGAAGTGAGAGTAGTATACAGTTTTGTTTTTTATGGTTCAAGAACAGATAAAGATGAACCGACTATTAGAGAAGTAAAGACAAGATTAAATTTAGGGATAAATTTAACGACCCCAATGACTTTGCTTGCAGGAAACTGGCAGGGAATGTTGGAATGTTGGAAATTGCGATCATATGACCACAGGGATGCTGCAATGGCCAGAACTCCGAGGACTGGTCGTAAGTCCCCCTCATTCAGCACTGTTGAAACTTTGAACAGTCTCTGAACAAGTGGTTGTAACCCAAGGACTACCTGTATTTCATCATAAGAGTGGTAGCAAAAGATTCCACCACCATTTAGAACAGGATAACACCTAGCATAATGAAAAATTACTACAATCCAATCTATTGGTGGAAGGAAGAGCTTATTTTACCTGCAGTGAAGATCAGCACCTCCAAGATCCTCTGCTGATACCTGTTCCCCAGTTGCTGCTTTAACCTAAAAATGAAAACTAAAGCTGAGCACTTCCAAATATACTTGATGGTTGTGTTGGACATGCACTCTTTTTTAAACCTAAGAAGAAAACAAAAAGACCAGAACACATTCTCTCCAGCAGCTAACACCCAGATAAGCAGGGATTAATACCAGACAATCAATCAAACAGAAAAAATACCCTAACCAAGAATCTACCAATGAGGAAACCACACCCCCACCAACACTATTGTATATAAACAGGGAGCAAACCCCACACTCACCAGCACTGATGATGTTACCTAGTTGGGT